ATCAGAATCACACAGCTTGTTAAACACACTGATTCCTAGAAACTCCTCTGGATCTACTGAATATGAGGGGTGGGATTGGGACATAATGTATTTTCGACAAGTTTGCCAGGCTGTTCTAAAGCATATCAAAGCTTGAGAACCAAGCCTGATGTGTCTTAACACTCTCAGTGTCTGGTATATAGTAGGTACTTAATCTATATTTGAGGGATGAATGAATGAGTGAATGAACCAAATAAAATAGTACCCTAACAAATAAATTTGTTACTGAGTCTAAAGCAATAAAAGAAAGATTCATTGGGAATTTACTGCCGCAAACACTAAACACAAAAATGAGAAATAATTTCATTCTCAGGCAAACCGCAATAATAATTAAGCTTTATTTGTACAATGCTTGTTGTCATGTTTCACTGACATCAAATATTCAAATTACTGCTAAAATGCCAAAAAGTCATAGATGGATATTACGGTCATCAGGAAAGGGTATGTCACACTTACAGGTGGGCGCAAGCATTGGAGTAAAATAATTTTGATATGTTAATAACATATCAGCATGTTAATAACACAAAAATCTCCATCCTTCCAGTGTTCTAGGAACCTCTGGCTGAGAACTATTTATCTGGTGTCAAGAAGAATTTCCGCATCATCCACTTAATGAGAATTCATAATTAAATGGCAGGTGCTTTACTAAGAGTGAGACTCCTCCAAGCATGTGTGTCGTGAGAATTGCAAGTTTTCAGAAAGCTGACATACACCTGCCTGGATATAATATCCTCCTAGTTCTCCTCCCACCTCTCTGGATGCTCATTTTCTGCCTTCTCAGCCTTATCATCCTCTATTCGGCCATTAAAAGTCAGATTCCTCAGTTTGACCAGGCTGTCTCCTCCTCTCACTCTCTGGGGCATTGGATCCACCCCTACAGCTTTGATTGTCATATATTCCTACATGGTGCCCAAATTGTTGCCTGCAGCCCAGACCTCTCTTCTGAGCTCGTTGGTTTATCCAGACTCTATAAGGACAATTTACAAAATTTAAGCCTAACTTTAATGAGTAAACGATCAATGTCAGTTGATCTTTTATTTTTAAGTGATTAAGCACATAGATATGTAAACTATCTAATATGCCAGATACATGTAAAATATTTTGATATCATATGCCAAGCACTTGATCAATATTACATGCTGGGTTTTTTTCCTGATGTTGCTGTTTAATGTAGCCCTCCAAAGTAGGATAAACATAAAATTTTAAAGCTACCTCAAGATGTACATCAGAGTAGATAGTGTCAATCATGCTAAGATGGAATGATATTTGGCTGGGGTCCTGAACACCCAATCTTGGACCAGCCACCCATGGCTACCCCTCTCAGGTTAAGAAGGAAAAAGTATACATGTGGGGGAAAGCCACTCTGTTTATTACTCTAAAGTTTTAGCCTTTCCTTGCTCTCTCCACTTGGAAATTAACCCCCACTGAGCTGCACAGGGCCACCTGATGCCAGGCGGATTCCTTTGCCAAATAGACTGGATCAAAATCAAGCACAGCAGTCTATTTCCCTAAGACCTACATCCAGTCCTGGTCCTACCACTTTGATGACTAGAAAATGCAAGGAGAGATAAACCCAAATGAAAAACATGAGGGGAAAGGGAGAGTTTCTACCTATGGCCATAGCATACATACCCCTTATATCTGCCCCCTCTGCCTTGAATCTACCTCAGCATTCCACTGGTGATGACCCATTTCAGATCTCCTCCACACGGTGCGGATGGAGAGTTTTGCAGTCATCCAAGAGAATAGTGGGTACCATTTGTTTGGCGATGTATTTACCAATCCAACAAATATTTGTGAGTGACTAATGTTTGTGAGGCACTGTTAAAGGTGCTAGGGTTACAGCAGTGATGAAAAATGACAAAAATTCCTGCCATCAAGGGACCTATATAGTATAGTATATAAGTAAAATACATACTAGGTAAGAGGATGATAAGTCCTATGGAGAAAAATAAATCAGGGTGGGTGGGCAAGGAGTACTAAGCTATTACATAACCTAAACAAGAGATGAGAGTGTTCAAAAATGACAGCTGGAGATTTTAACACTCCACTCTCAATGCTTGATGGAACAACCAGACAGAAAATCAGCAAGCATACAGAAGATTTAAACAACACTTGACCTCACTGATATTTATAAAACATTCCACCCAATTACAGCAGAATAGGCATTCTTTTCAAACACACATAGAACATTCTCCAGAATGGACCATATGTTAGGCCAGAAAACAAGTTTCAATACATTTAAAAGGTTTGAAATCACACAAAGTGTGTTCTCTAAATACAATGCAATTAAATTAGAAATAGACAACAGAAGGAAATTTAGGGAATCACCAAGTACTTGGGAATTAAACAAAACACTTCTAAATAATCCATTTGTTAAAGAAAAACACCAGAAGGAAATTTTAAAAATATTTTGAGCTGAAAAAAATGAAAATTCAACATATCAAAATTGATGAGCTGCAGCTAAAGAAGTAATTAGAGGGAAATAAATAGCTACGAAGGCCAACATTAGAACAGAAGAAAGACCTTAAATCAATAACTCAAACATCCACCAGAAGAAACTAGAAATAGAAGAGCTAACTAAATTCAAAGCAAGCAAAGAAAGGAAACAATCAAGATTAGAGTAGAAAACAATGAAATAGAAAACAGAAAAACAACAGAGAAAATCAATGAAACCAAAAGTTGCTTCCTTGAAAAGATCAATAAAATTGATAAAATTTTACCTAGACTGACCAAGAAATCAAAAGAGAAGATACAAATTACCAAAATAAGAAAAAACAGAGGGGCAATCTTTACCATCCTTACAAAAAAATTAAAGGATTATAAGGGAATATTATGAACTACTTTGTATCAAATTAGACATCTTATGTAAAATGCACAAATTTCTAGAAAGATACAAATTATCTAAACTGACTCAAGAAGTAATAGAAAATCTGAATAGACCCATAATAAGTAAAAAAAATGCAATTAATAATTTAAAATCTTCACACAATGACAAAGTCAGGCCCAAATGGATTCCTGGTGAGTTCTACCAAATATTTTAAAAAGAAATAATTCTAATTCTTTACAAACACTTACTGAAAACAGAAGGTGAGGAAACACTTCCAAACATATGCTACAAGCACAGTAGTACCCTGACACAAAAGTCAGAGGAAGATATCTCAAGGAAAGAAAACCACAGACCAAAATTTCTCATGAAAATAGATGTAAAAATCCTTAAAATGTTAACAAACTGAATCCAGCAATGTATAAAAAGAATTATATGCCACCACCAAGTGGAATTTATATAAGGTTGGTTTAGCTCTCAAAAATCAATTAATGTAATACACCATATTGATAGAATAAAGGACAAAATTAGATGATCATTTCAATAGACACAGAAAAAGCATTTAATAAAATCCAACAACCATTCATGATAAAAATTATCAACAAGCTAGGAATACAGGGGAACTTCTTTAACCTGAAAAGATAATCTACAATGTATAACTAACATCATACCTCGTAATGAAAGATTGAATGTTTTCTCACTGAGATTGGGAATAAGGCAGCATATCCACTCTTACTCCCACTCAACATTGTTCCAAAGTTCTAGTCAGTTTAACAAGGCAAGGAAAATAATTAAAGGCATGCCAATTGGAATGGAAGAAGTAAAACTGCCTTTATTCACAGACAGCATGTAGAAAATGCTAAGAAATTCACACATAAAAAGATCTATTAGAACTAATAAATAAGATTAGCAAGGTCACGGGATGCAGGATCAATGTATAGAAATCAAGCGTATTTCTATATATTAGCAGGGAACAACTCAAAAATGAGATTAAGAAATAAATTCCATTCACAACAGCATCAAACAGAATACAATATTTAGGAATCAATTTAACAAAAGAAGTGCAAGACTGGACTTGTACACTGAAAATCACAAGACATTGCTAAATAAATGGAGATACCTTCTGTGTTCGTGAATTGGAGCCTGAGTTATTATTAAGATGGTAATTCTCCCCAGAATGACCTATAGATTTAACACAATCCCTAAAAAATTGCAATGAGGCTTTTTTGTAGAAATTGGTGAGTTCATTGTAAAATGCATAAAACCTAGAATAGCTGAAACAATCTTGAAAAAGAAGAGAAAAGGACTTATACTGCCCAGTTTCAAACTTACCATAAAGCTTCAGTAATCAAGACGATGTGGTATTGGCATAGGATAATCACATAGATCAATGGAACAGAAGTGAGAGTCCAGAAATAAACTCTTGCATTTATGGTCAATTGATTTTTGACAAATGTGCTAAGGTAATTCATTGAAGGAAAGAATAGGCTTTCCAACTAATAGTGCTGATGCAATTGGTATTCATATGCAAAAAAAAAAAAAGGAAAAAGAACATAAACACTAACTCCATGCCATACACAAAAATTAACTGAAAATGGATCATAAACTTAACGTAGAAGAGAAATTATAAAACTTCTAGAAGAAAATATAAGAAAAAACTTTAGTGACATCGGATTAGGCAAAGAGTTCTTATATATGACACCAAAAGCATGACCTATAAGAGAAAAAATGGATAAGTTGGACTTTATCAAAATCAAAACTTTTGTTTTTCTAAAAGTCACCATTAGGAAAATGAAAGGACAAAGCACAAATTGGGAGAAAAGATTTGTACATCATATATCTGATAAAGGACTTGTATCCAGAATATATAAGTAATTCATATAACTCAATAAGAAGACAAACAATCCAATTTAAAAACGGACAAAAGATTTCAATAGACATTTCACCAAAGAAAATATAAGAAGAACTAATAAGCACATGAAAAGGTGCTCGACATCATTAAGTCATTAGGGAGATGCAATTTAAAACCAAAATGAGGTACTACTACCTTTCCGCTAGAATGGCTATAACCAAAAAGACAGACAATAACAAGTGTTGGTAAGGATGTGGAGAAAGAGCCCTCATACCTGTGGGAATGGAAAATGGTAGAGCCATTTGGAAAACAGTTTGGTGGCTTCTTATAGAGTTAAACATATATTTACAATCCAGCATTCCACATCTAGATATCTACAGAAGAGAAACACAAACATATGTCCACAGAAAGACTTATACGTTAAGGTTCATAGAAGAATTATTCATAACAGCCCAAAACTGGAAACAATTCAGATGTCCACTAACCAGTGAAAGGATAAACAAATGCGGTTTGTCCATGCAAGGGAATACTATTCAGCAATGAAAAGGAGAAAATTACCAACAGACCCTACAACACAGATGAACCTCAAAAACATTATGCTAAGTGAAAGAAACCACACACAAAACACAACATATTGTAAGATTCCATTTACAGATGGTCCCCGACTTATGATGGTTCAACATACAATTTTTCAACTGTACAATGGTGCAAAAGCAATACGCATTCAATAGAAACCATACTTCGAATTTTGAATTTTAATCTTTTCCCAGGCTAGAGATACAAGTACTATACTCGCTGGTGATGCTGGGCAATGGCAGCAAGCCACAGCTCCCAGTCAGCCACACGATCACGAGGGTAAACAACCAAGATACTAACAACCATGCTCCACCCACACAACCATTCTGTTTTTCACTTTCAGTATAGTATTCAACAAATTACACGAGACATTCAACTCTTTATTATAAAATAGGTTTTGTGTTAGATGATTCTGCCCAACTCATGTGTTAATCGCTAATATCAGTGTTCTGAGCATGTTTAAGGTAAGCCAGCCTAAATCATGACGATCAGTAGGTTAGGTGTATTAAATGCATTTTGACTTGAAATATTTTCAATTTATGATGGGTTTATCAGGATGTAACCCCATCATAAGTGGAGGAATATCTGTACATGAAACGCCCAGAAAAGGCAAATCCATAGGTACAGAAAACAGAGTAATGGTTGCCTGGGATTGAAAGCGGGAGCCGAATCGACTGCAAATAGGCACAAAGAAATGTTTTGGGGTGATGCATATGTTTCAAAACTGTGGTGAGGATTACACAGTTCTACACATTTACTAAAAATCATTCAATTGTACACTTACCATAGGTGAATTTTATGGTAAGTAAATTATGCCTCAATAAAGCTGTTAAAAAAAAAAGAGGTGATGGTGGCTTGGACCATGGAGACTCAGAGAAGTGATATCAACAGATGGTGGAAGACAACATTACACTAACCAGTGAGCAAAATGGGGAGATTAGGGTCTTGATCCAGGGTCACTCTATTAGTCAGGTTTCTCCAGAGAAACAGAACCAATAGGATGGATATAGATATCGATATAGTTAAGGGAAATTTACTATAGAAATTAGCTCACACAATTATGGAGGCCAAGTCCCATGATTTGTAAAGAAGGAAAGCCAATGGTGTGATTTAATCCAAGTCCGAAGGCCTGAGAACCAAGGGAGCTGATGGTGTAAGTCCTCATCTGAGGACAAAGGCCAAGAGCATCAATATCTGAGGGCAGGAGATGACGGCTGTCCCAGCTCAAGCGAAGGGAGCAAATCTGCCATCCTTCACCTTTTTGCTCTCTTCAGGTCCTCACTGGATTGGGTGATGCTCACCTGCATCTTTACTAAATCTACACATTCAAATGCTAATCTCTTTGGAAAACACCCTCACAGGCACACCCAGAAATAATGTTTTACATGCTATCTGGGCCTCCTTTAGCCCAGTAAAGTTGACACACATAAAATTAACCATCACAGTCACTTAAAAGATCAACATATTGATAAAAACAATACCTGTGCTTCATTTTTCCACCATGGACAATTACTGCAGATCTCTTTTTCTTAGGAAATCCTGGGAAGATATAAGGAGAATATTGACACTCAGGTGTCATGAAGGCCCCCAGCTCTATTGCTGAGGTCCTCAGGCCTGTACCCAAGTAAGCTATCACTTGAAATGTAGTCAGTTCCCCCTGGACTATAATATGAGTGTCTTGACTGAAGTCCAGAAGATGGCTCTAGGTGGAGGGTGTGAAACAGCTTTTGCAGGAGGAGGACCCCAGAGTTCCCTGAAAAGGGGAGTGAGGAGAGATACATTACTTTTTATAGGTCACCATGAGGTAACTCAGTCTGTCCAATGGCATCTCACTCACCGTCAAAGTCCTTATAAGGGACCCTGCCTGATTTGTCTCCCATGACCTCTCTGACCTCATCCCTTAATACGTTCCCTTCTCTCTCTCTGCTCCAGCCACGTCCTTCTAGCTGTTCCCTAAACACACTAAGTATGTCTTGCCTCAGGGCATTTGCACTGGCTGTATCTACTTCTTGGAATATTCTTCCCCCAAATATCCACATGCTAACTCTTTCACCTCCTTCAGCTTTTACTCAAAAACTCTCATTTCAGTGAGACCTTCTCTGGTCACCGTTATTTAAAATTGTGCCCCTTAACTCTTGCAATCCCCCTCCCCTGCTGTATTTTCTACATACTATTCATCACCATCTGACATACTATGCATTCTTCTTCTTTATCTTTCCTATTGTCTATCTTTAGTTGACAATCTTTCTAAAGACTATCTGTAGAATCTTTAAAATATAAGATTATATTCTTATATTCTTGACCCTTTAGAATATAAGTTCCATGAGGGCAGGGATTTTGGCCTGGTTTATTCACAGCTGTTCACCCGGAGTCTGTGACAGTGTCAGTCATTGAGAAGACCATCAATAAATATTTGTTGAAGGAGTGAGCAGCTGACAACCAGGGGACAGAAAAGCACTTGAGGAGAGAGCGCAAGCCAGGGCACTCCGGGTGTGGGCCTGGGGCCCTCTACCTGCATCACCTCCCACAGCCAGGAAGCGCTTCTCCCTCACCCCAGGCCGGCCCCGCATCTCCTGCCAAAGTGTTCCAATCACTGACTCTGATCCGTTGGAGACCAGGCAATATTTTCACCCCATCCCTCCCCATCTTCACTGCTTGTTAAAGCTCAAGTTTAAAACAAGTTGGTAAAAAATGCCTCGTGGGACTCACACTATTCACTCCTCCTATTCCAATGGCATTTTTTCTGCTTTGCCTTTAGGACTGTGCTCTGTTCCTTTGCATTTCTGACCAATAGAACAGAGTGTCTCTCACTTGCCATCTTCTAAGAGTCCAGCAACCGGAAACATGGCAAACACACTTTTTGAACACGTGCTGTCGTGGACAGTGGTTTTCCTGTCTCCCTCTTGCATTGCTAGTCCACTGCGATGCTCCGCCTGCTCCTGGAGATGTGGTGTTTACAGCTGCACCCCGACAGTTCTCCATAATGGCTCTGATCTAGACCCATGGCCTGCTGGGGGACCACCTACAAGCTCTTTGTCTTACCCAGGGACTCCCAGACTATGTAAAAATCTTCGGAGGCTGGTTTTCCATTAAATTTTAAAAAGAAGAAGAAAAGGCAAGAAAAAGAAAACCAGAACAATCCTAATGCAAAGCCCCTACATTTCTGTCCCGTGAGCAGCTTGTAGCTTTTCTTTTCATTTATTCCAGACACTCCCCCTGCCACACACACACACACACACACACACACACACGTTCATTTTTCTCACTTGCTTGTTTGTAGTTAGTTTCCAATCATAAGTACGGGAGCTGGATTCTGTATTCTATTTACTAGTGTCATTGCAGAAGCCATCACATCTTCCTGAGCTCATCCATCATTCCTCCTCCTCTCTCAGCATCATTTTAAATATGCAAGTTCTCATCCCCAGCATCGGGGTCCCAGCTGCAGTCGTAGCTGTCCTGGTCCGCAGAAGGAAGTAAAAGAAAGACTGCAGAAATACAATGTTAACTGCCAATCCATGGACTGTTTTCCCTTGAACAAAGGACATCAGGCTCTACTGAATTGTTTTAGCTTTGACAAGGACATCATCAAGCCCTGGGGCTCCTTCATTGGAAGCATCCCGGGAACAGAGCGAAAACAAAGATTCCCAAGTCTCGCCCAGAGATTCTGCTGGAATGCTCTTCCCACTTCTCTCTGTAGGACCAGCTACATCTCATCCTTCTCCTCTGAGTTTATATGTCCCCTCCACAAAAAGGCCTTCTCTGACCACTGCATTCACAGGTAGGACTCCTTGCTGCCAATGTTTTTTCTCTCATCCCCTCTCTTTTAAGTCATAACATGCATCGTAGTTTATAATGATTTTGTCAGTATGTTTGTTTACTTGTCTGTCTCTCACGGCAGCATCTAAAGTTTCTAATAGCAGAGACCATATCTGTTTGCTCAGTGCCTGAAAAATAGTAGGAGCTTAATCAACACTTATTGGTTGAATGAATGAGAGCCAGAGCTACATTATGACTTTCATGGGCCCTTGGTACTTTTGCTTTCACTGGCTCCTTCCTCCATAAAAAATATTTAAAGTTATGTTTTATAACTGTGTTGGTATAAATAAGAATATAATCTAAGCTGGATAATATTCATTTTTTTCTTCTGATTTTAAAAGAAATTAAAACATTTTATGGATCCTAGAAAGCATGATGGGCCCTAGGCATTGTGCCTCCTGTGCCCAAGGGATAAATCAAGCCTGTGAATCACAAAACATTTTTAAAGAATTATTAGGAAACGAGGCTAGACAAATAATATGGAGTAAGATTATGGAAGGTCTTGTACATCTGACTTTGAATTTTGTAAATTTGAAATTTTTTGGTAGATGTGCTATTGTGATTTATAATAAGAAATATACATTTGGTCTTTGTTTCTGGCACAGAGCTCCTAAAACCCTTGGATATTCCTAAGTGATGGAAGTGATAAAGGTGTGTCTTTTGTTATGTTAATAGGGTGACATTGGGAAAGCTCTAGGTAACCAAAGGATGGGGGCTGGTTGCCAGGGGAACCCACCACGTGATTAGAGGGTTGGAACGTTCAGTCCCACCTCAACCTCCAGGGCTGGAGATTAAGTTCAATTGCCAGTGGCCAATGATTTACCCAATCATGCCTACGTAATGAAGCCTCCATAAAATCCCAGAAGGATGGGGTTTGGAGAGCTTCCAGGTTGGTGAACCAGATGCTTCCACGTGCTACTGTGCCCAGCCCAAGCTCCACAGGGACAGAAGCTCCTTTGTTTGGGACCTTGCCCTATGTATCTCTTCATCTGGTTGTTGATTCATATCCTTTAATATCCTTTGGAATAAACCAGTAATCTAGTGAGTAAACTGGTTTCCTGAGTCCTGTGAGCTGCTTTAGCAATTAATCGACCTCAAGGAGGGTGTTGTAGGAACTGATTTACAGCCAGTTGGTCAGAAGTACAGGTGACAACCTGGACTTGCAATTGGCATCCCAAGTGGACAGCAGTTTTGTGGGACTGAGTCCTTAAACTGGGGAATCTGATGCTGTCTCTGGGTAGAGAGTGTCAGAACTGAGTTAAATTGTAGGCCATCCAGCTGGTGTCTGAGAATTGCTTGGTGGTGTGGGTGGCAATGCCCCCTCAAACACTGAATTGGGGGCAGAACCTTTTAGCAGACAATAAAATCTCGTGGAGAGATTTTGGGCTAAAGAATGATAGGGCTTCAAAATATCCCAGAGCCACTGTAGGAAGAAGTCACAGGATGAACAAAGAAGACATTATTCAGGAAGGTTCCAGCGTATGGTCCAGACACCACGAGGTGAAATGGGATCTGAACTGTGGCACTGACTGTGATGAGAGTTTTGGGAGAGTAAGAGCAGAACTGAGGGAATTTGTGAATTTCTCTCACAGCTGACTGTGTAGGGAGGGTAACTTCAAAGACGACTGTGGTTCTGAGCCTGGACTGGGAGGAACAGAAATAGCTGGAGAAGAGAGACTTGGTGGGGAACAGGATGGACTCAGTTTGGGATATGTTTCGGGGAAAGGATGCCAGCAGAACAATCAAATGGAACATTTGGGCAGTCAGGCTCTCAGAAATGTAGGTCTAGGGGCTGGCCCAGTGGCATAGCTGTTGAGTTTGGTGCATCCTACTTCGGAGGCCCAGGGTTCGCAGGTTCAGATCCCAGGCACAGACGTATGCCACTCATCAAGCCGTGCCGCGGCGGTGACCCACATACAAAATAGAGGAAGATAGGCACAGATGTTAGCTCAGGGCCAGTCTTCCTTAAGCAAAAAGAGGAGAATTGGCAACAGATGCTAGCTCAGGGCCAATCTTCCTCACCAAAAAAGAAAAAATTAAAAAATTAAAAAAGCAAGGTCCTGATGATTAATATATATATATGCCTGGAACTCTGGAGCTTCAAAATTTTCCACAATGATAGCCAACTTCAAGGTTCTTAAATCACGGTACATGGATCATTAAATCAGCAAAGAGCATTTCTAACCAACCATCCAAGTCCTACTCCTCTTGGGCTGGCGTATCTCTCCTAGTAATTCCCCAGTTATGGGGGTCTCCCAAGTCTCCTGCCTCTTTGCTTAGCTGAGGGAAACTGAGAAATTCCAAAGAATTCTTTTGTAACATAGAGTAAATGCAGGGTTCAGTGAGTTCACCTTTATTCTCAATGGGCTCTAATTAAATGGGCTAACTGGCAGTAGATGATTAGCATTAAACTTTTAATTAGTAGAAGCTTAAAAACTCCTCCTTCTATAAACCTGATAGACAAGAATGAGATCTGTAGCATTTCAACAGGAACCTGCTAAAGAAAATGTTTCTTGGGAGAAGGGCAACTTCTGCGTTAGAGGCCAGAGGCCTGTGTACAAAGCTGGAACCATTGGAGCTTCATGGTCACCCATCTCAATGTTTGCACCCTGTGAAATAGATTCTAGGGTGGACGATTTCCCCCAAGCTCCATTCCTACTCTAAGTTAACAGGCTGGCATGATTTTTGTTTTCTTTTTGGTGAGTAAGATTGGCCCTGAGCTAACACTGTTGCCAATCTTCCTTTTTTTTTTTTTCTCCCCAAAGCCCCAGTACACAGTTGTATATCCTAGTTGTAGGTCATTCTAGCTCTTCTATGTGGGATGCCTCCACAGCATGGCTTGATGAGCAGTGTGTAGGTCTGTGCCCAGGATCTGAACCAGCGAACCCTGGCCCATGGAAGCAGAGCACGGGAACTTAACCACTTGGCCACAGAGCCAGCCCAGGCATGAATTTTTAATATTAGAATCAAGCTGTATTGTTAGAGCGATAGGAGCAATGGCGCTCCCTCTGGGTGAGATTTGAGCAATCTATCCCTTTCCTAGAAAGGTCTTCTGAGATATTAACATTTTTACATTTTACTATGAAACCGGGACATGATGTCACAGGTGCCGGTATCTTCTTAAGCAATTGTACCTCCCTCACCCTATTTGTAAAATGGAGGGAATAACATCATATATCTCATGGGATCGTGGTGAGGATTAAGTGAGTTAATTTATATATGGTATTTTATGTATTATAGTAATGTATGTATAGAAGAATGCCTGGTTCATAGTAAGTGCTCAATAAATGTTAATTTTTAAATTTTTATCACAGTAGCTCTCATTCAGAGAGCTTCTCTTCTACTACATTTTTTCCCCCTGAAAATGGAAATTGTACACTATCTACATAAAAGTCACTTAAAGAGTTTGAATGCAGAGTCCTGGGCCCCACCCTAGACCAATGGACTAGTGACCTCTGGGAACAGAGACCAGAAACCTGCCTTTGAACAAATTTTCTAAGAGATTTTAGTCTCCCCGGAGTTTGAGACCCACTAGACCCCTGGGTTTGTAAGAAGCGCAGATAAATTTCTGCCTTGACCTCCATGCCCTGCTGTCTGGATCAGCTTTGGAAAGTATTCCATCGTCTAGAAACCCAAGACCTGAGACGTACAGATTGCACAAGGCGTGGAGAAGCCTCAGTCCAGACAATGTCAACAAGACCACGCTGAAGAACACCTGATTCCAACTCCACCCCTCAGGCTGGTTCTAGAAATCCACCTCCTGATCAGTTATGACCAATTTCGGGCCCACAGTTGCTGGAGGGAGCCTCCCACAGCCATCAGTTTTCCTAGAAGGAGATCTGTTTAGGGAGCCTGGTGATGCTTTGAATACATCTGTCACCACATCAATCAAGTCACATACACAACATACATGATTCCTCCGCCCCCTGGCTGTGAATTATCTGTTTCCCTGGCATGTCAGCATATCAGATGACTCATTTTGAACTACCCCATCATTGAATGTGACATTCGAATTTGACCCCTCTGAGCAACTGTACCCGAGAGCAGGTATCGCGTGTCTCATATTTTAAGGATGGGAATTTTGCCACATCATGATAGCGATCACAACACAAAATAAGAAGTCCTTCTATTTCTGTAGGCCTTTATGGATGGTTGTCAAAGAACTTTCAGTGCTATTATCTAGCATGCCCTCACAATGGGAGTTAGGAAAACCAGGAGTCCCTTCTGCTTTATAGAAAGCAAAACCTCAAGGCGTTTATGTGACTTACCTCAATTCACCTAACAGGTTGGAGGCTAACATGACCGGTGATTCTCCATGCTCTGACCCCTGGGCGTGGGCTTGTCCTGCCTGCAGCCATCGTATCCCCAGGGTAGAGAAGAGGCGAGGAGCACCAGCTTTGGACCACGTTTTGAATCTTGAGTCCATCACTCACTAGCTGTGTGACCTTGAGAAAACCCACCTCACAATGGTGAGATAAGGATGGAATGGAAAGCACTATGCTTAGCACACAGAGAACGCTCCATAGGTGTTGAATGTTAGTATCCTCGCCATTATCACTAATTATGGATGTCACTGACAGTCAGTGAGGGTGGTTCTGACCAAATTGGCTAAGATTCTATCAGGAGCCTGTCTCTCCTCTCACATATTCTTTTCGGGTAAGAGGACAAAATGGTTATTATGTTCCATTTGTGTCTTTTTTTGCTTTGATAAAATAGAGAAACCTTTTGAAACTTATCCCTCAGTTTTTAAGAATTTTAGACTAAATTACTACATGATGTTATGTTTGACACGGGGAATGGAATTTTTTTCCAACAGAACTGAACTTAAACTCTACTCTTGTCCCAAATCGAATGAGTTCAGTAACTGTTTTGTTCTGTTTCCTTTTTGACCAATGTTAATAGTAAGTGCTGAAGAGATGCACTGGATCAGATGAGCGGGTGAGCCAAGACCAGGCAAGGAAAAGATGTTCATCACGTGAATTTCCCTGATTCCTGCTCGACCTGGGGAGTTGGTCCCTGACTAATTTCTCAACAACATCTAGAAATTCAGAATGAAATATTAAATAAAGGAATAAGTCAAAATGTTGACACTTAGGAAACCATTTGCCTTAGGTGATCTAACTACAACCTTCAGTGAATTACAGTCACAGAGACCTTATGCCTCTCCTCACAATCACTTCTTGCTAACAACTCATTGCTACTACCTTTCGCTATTTGCTCCACACACAACACTCATCAGGAACTTAATAGGCCCTCGGGCGAGACTGTAAAGTGAGGGAGGAGAATGAGCTACCCACCAGGCTAAGGGCCACAGAGGTTCTGAGTGCAGAACAAACCCCTGACAGAGGCGACGTCCTAGAGGATAAAGCGTATTAACACAATAACCTTATTCTCTGTATGTCTACTAAGAGCTTTCTTCTTCCTGCCACTGTCCCCCCCACCCCATCCCACTCCCTGAAGCAGCTGGTACCATGGGAATTTGCTCCTACCCAGGCAGGGCAAACGAACTGTGACACAACAGAAGACAGCGAGCATGAGGGCAGCCATCTGACATGCAGAGAAGTGACCCATGAGGGGACTGCAACCCCAGAAAATAACTCAGAGGAAAACAAAAATATTCCCAGCAGCACTATTTTTAAGGGAAAAAAAAAAAAACTATAAAGAACTAAAAACCACACCAGTGTGTAGAAAGGCCAAAAATATCCTGATGGAAAGCAGGATGGAACACTATGCAGCTAATAAAAATCACAAGTTTATGGACCACAACATGTAGAAATGTTTATATAGAGCAGTATGAGGTGGAAAGTCACAACTAACAATGTCAAAATTAATTTATATGTCTGTATCTAAACACTGAACGCCGTTATTACAAAATCTTATAAACTGAGAGATTAGAATCTTTATGAATTTATCCTACCTCAACTTAAAGGGACCACACAATGAGATTACTACATTTCTCTAGTATGTTTATTCTCTCAGTCTTGCAATTCTATTTATACTTCCTTCACTAGCCTCAAACTTCAAAGGCTCTCTCATAACAGGATCCTGACAGTTGACTGTGATTCTCTCTCCGCCCTCCCGAATCTGGTAACACAATCCCTCTCCTTTCCTGTGTTCCAGCCTCGCCGGCTTCTTGGATCCTTGAATTTGCCAAGAGCTCTCCTATCTTGAGGTCTTCTGTGCACTTCCTGCTGCCGGGAAGGCCTTTGCCCAAGTCAGTCAATACAACTAAGTCTCAGATTTATGCACCTCCACTAATATCCACATGCACATCTTCGTTCATAGCACCTAGCACACTTGGTAATTATAAGTGTATTTGCATGATTATTGGTTTATGACGTTTCCCTCCCCTAAATAGACTCTAAGCTCTATGAGGAATAATACTTGGGCTGTTCATGATCATAAACCTACCTAGTACTGACACAGCACCTGGCCTCCGCTGGTGTCTCACAAAACTTTGTTGAATAAGTGGATAGATGGATGGATGAAGTGACATGAATATAATTCAATATTCATTAGGTTGTATTTTTTCCCCACAAAAATACCATGTAGTGTAGACTATTGAATATTACTTTGTACTCATTTGAGTAGTGCTTTCCATATTTTGAAGTATTTTCATATGGAATAATAAATTTTTTTGATTCTTAGAATCCTATGAGGTAGATATTATTCTAGCTTCACATTTGAGGAAATGGAGGCTCAGAGAAATTAAGGAAGTGGACTAAACTGGACTAAGTGGTAGAGAGAGGTCTGGAATCCAGATCTGTTAGATTCAGGCCAAGGATTTGGACCCTCTGCCTGTGTGGCTCCAAGTATGTCACTGTGTCCACTGTAAGGTGCATTGGGAGCACCGGGGGCCTGGGGGTGCACAGGCATTATCCTGATGGGTCTTTGCAGCTGAGAAATGATGGGAGGTGATGGCGTTACGGTCTGGGGAGAGGGTCCTGGCCCCGATCAGGTGGGGCTGGAGCAGTGAGGCAGTGGACAGTGAGCCTCAGATGTGGTTCTCAGGTCACTCTTTCACACGCAACCTGCAGTGGTTCAATGTCTCATTGTCAGTGTTACTCTGGCGATCATGCGATGGTCTTATCAAACCATCGATTAATGATACTTGCACAGGTGGCTCCATAGTCACCAAACTCAGATGCAACACAACAGAATGGATAGAGTCCTGGGTTGAACCCCAAAGGTGTAGTCGGAAAAGTCAAATGACCCAGAGAAGTCAAGGAGAGCCAAAATGTGTGTTTCAACACTGTCACTCTGGCAAAGCTATGACCTTATTTATCATATTGTTTAGCTTATCTGAATATTTATAAAAAGATAAGCTCAAATGGGCAGCGGTGTTATGGAGGAGGGAGTATGCTATAAAACAATGACTAAACAAACGGAGGCCTAATCCTGAAGGCAGAACCCTTTCTGTGCCATATGCTCCTCGTGCATCCTTCTCATCATTTCAGCTTGAACACCCTGTTAAAGCCTTCATCTGCTCTTCAGCCCCTGTCTACAGCTTTCCAGAAAGAGCTTGATGACAGTTGTGTCTGTTGGGGATCCACAGGCTCATTTTTCCCTCTTCAGAAGCACCATAGGGCTGTGATACTAGCCACTTAACAAGGTGGCGTTTGCCAGGCCAGCAGTGTAGAGAGGCTGGGTGTTTCTTTCCTGACAATGTCTGTGATTCCAGCAGTTGCCTCTAGGCAAATGGCAGGTGGTACCTGATGCTGACCGCACAGGCCCAGTGCTGAGCGTCACCCCAAACAACAGGAGGTGAATGCTCATTGCCGCTCTTATCCATTTTGTATTATTAAATTACTAAATTTTTCCTATTATTATAATAACATAGTTATTATTAATAACATAATTACTTGAGGGGAACACTGTAAGATTAAAACAAATCCAATAACAAACATAGCTATCAAGTTTATCACCTTGTCTGTGTTACATTTTTCATTTCTTACAATAACTTTTCTTACTAAAAAGGAAAATGAGATTCATTCAGTAGATATTTAACCTAGTAGGTAGTGGAGTTGGAAGTCAGGAGAGTGAGTCTGTTCCCAGAGACTCATTATTAATTAGCTGTGTGGCCTTAGGTAAGTTTCTTCTCCTCTCTGGGCTTCAGTCTCCTTTCTGGAGACAGGGAATGAGTGAGAGAGACTTGCAGATGGCACAGGCTCCTTCTTGCTCTGTGCCTTCATGTTGACTATGATTGCTTTTCTTCATCATGATGGTTCTGGCTCTTGTTTGGGGTTTTTGTTTTTCTTCATCCCCATAACTTTCTCATCATCCATCTCTCAGCTTGTCACCTCTCAGAGAGGATTTCCCTGACCAATCCTGCTACGATAGCTTGTCCACCCTCCTCGACTCTTTATCACAAAGTCTAGAGCCTTGGAATGGCACACACAATTGCCACAGACTGGCCCCAGTTTTCTCCTCCAGAACCTAGTAAACAATCAATAAATATTTGTTGATTGCATTATGAATAAATCCAATTGGTTACAAATTCTTTTCATTCCGCCACAGAAAACTCTAGGACTGTGCTGTTCAATATTATGCATATTTTACCACAAATTTTTTAAAAAGTTCGAGGTAAACAACTATCTGTCCCTAGAAGACAGAGGATGGGTTCACAGTGAACTGTCCAGGTCTCTTCTTTACGACTCCCTGTTAACGGTACGCGCGGCCCCTGTGAGAGCAAGAATGAAATGACTCAGTATAATCCATCGCTGGGCTGTTGCACTTTAAGAGTATTTAATGGTTGTGATTGTCTTAGTCTGTTGCGGTTGCCATAATGGAATACCATAGACTGGTGGCTTAGAAACAACCGAAACTTATTTTTCATATTCCTCCATATTTCTGGAGGCTAGAAGTCTGAGATCAGGATGTTAGCACGGACAGTTGCTCTTCCGGGTTGCAGACTACTCCTTGTGTCCTCACGTGGTGGGAAGAGCAGAGAGACGAAGCAAGCTGTCTCATGACTCTCAGCAGGGCACTACCCCATTCACAAGGGTTCCATCCTGACCGCCTCTCATCCTAACCACCTCCCGAAGGCCCTATCTCCTAAGACCATCACATTGGGAGGTAGGGTTTCAACATATGAATTTGGGGGGCACACAAACATTCAGTCTGTAACAGTGGCTGAGAACCCAAGAGCTTTCCCCTCCTTCTTCCTCGTACACACGGTCCACTTCCTCTAGAGGTCAGTTACTCCCTTTCCCAGCCTCTCTGTAGGTAGAGCATAGGTATGTGACCTTATCCTGGCCCGTAGTACTAAGGGGAGATCTCCTAGGGGGTATGTTTTGCGGAAACTTTTTCTCCCTGTTTAAAAAAGAGAGAGAGAACCCATAGGATGAACTTTTTCCCTGTCTTCCTTCAGACGTTGTTGTGTGAAGATATAATGCCTGGGGCTGAGATGGCTATCTTGCATCCATAAAGGAGAGACCAAAGAATGACAGATAAATCAATCTGGAATCCTGACAACCTGTTACTGTATTCGTCACCCTCAGAAAATAGATTCCTCCTTGTTTAAGCTACCCTTAGCTTGGTATTCTGTTTACTTGCAGCCAAGATGATTCCAATGGGCCATGGTTTTACAAAGACAGCCTTATGGCACCTTGCAAGGAATCCATATTCAGCTGGGGTTTTCTCTTCCCTTCCAGCAAAAGGTGTTTATTATCCTTTTCTTCATTACATGGCAGGCAGAAGAAAGAATACAAAGAGCAGGGCACCAAGACAAAAGGGTACCTACTGCTGGCCTTGGAAAGACTCAGGATCATCAGCAAATGAGCCGAGAGTGCACAAAGTAAATAGCGGGTATTGTGCCGTGTACTGGAAGGAAGCACATTCCCCTTTGTAACTGAGAGAGGCTGTATACAAAGGGAACGTTGGGTAAGAGCACAAAGACTAAGGACTCTCTAGGAGTCCAGAAGCAAGAAAGCAATAACCCAGGGCAGACAAGACTGGATACTAACAGTGTAGGGCAAGAAGAAGACCAGTGGGATCCAGGAAAAGAGAAACCTAAGGTCTACATCAGACCACTCTCCTCCCAGCTCAGCTCTGTAGGTTTCAGTAATTCTCAACTGAGCTTTTTGCTTTTCTTGTAAAGACCCAGGTTAAAGTGCCCCTCAAAGTATCTATAGGTAGGTATCAGGTCTGTGTGGCTCTGCTTTGATTTCTGAAATAAAGGTTCTGGGGCTCTTTTGTCAGATTTTTCTATCAAGTTGAACATCTTTCTGGGCATGTTGCAATTTAGATATTTATTAAGCACTTTTGTTAGCTGGTAGTATGACAGCTACCTGCAAAGTTGATTAAACAGACGCAGCCAAGGAAGGAAAGATGGCTCCATCTGTCCATTAATGATGCTGGAAGCCCAGAGAGAGAGGTCCAGGCACAGGGCAATCTGTCACTTCCCAGCTATGAGTGTCCTGTGGCGCTTT